TGATTGTCAACTTGTGGTCCTCGGACTACTGGTGGCAACCACTGCCCTATAGCATGTGGCAGACTATCACTGCCAGGCTCTCTTATTATAGAACACTGGGCCTTGGGCCAGTGCTATCGGGGGTCTGAAGTTTAGCTATTTCATTTCATTAATTTAAATCTTGCATCCCATGCAGTTGGCAAGTACTATGTTGGGCAGCAAGATCTAGGATCTTGGGGTAAGCATTAAAAATTGCAAATTGATTCAAGACAAAAGTGAAAAAGAGGCACACACAGTCCACTATCAGAACTGAAGAAGTGAATGAGTATTGACCCAATAAAATTTGAAGGTCATGAGAAGCTGCTTTTATATTCCATATAATTTTAAGGGAATGTGGCCAGCTTGCATTGTAGTGTTTAGAGAACTCACCAGATGGAAGACTGGAGGAGACGGTGGAGCCAAATGGATGCTGAGGCCAGTTCCACAAAGCAGCCAGTCCTGTTCTTCCAGTGTCCCAAAATCTTCAGTTCCCTCGTCTAGTGGCAAGTGAATTGGTTTGCTATCTGACTCCCTTTTTATCTTGGGAAGACAGTAAATCCTGTCAGTGCTAGCATCGTAGGAGACACCCTAATCCAGGAAATAACAATGAACGTAAACTGATTACGGTTCACTGTGATTGGATTGGTCACACCCTGTTCACTGTGATTGGATTTTTCAGACTAATATCCAGTTACAACTCTCATTTAATGACATCAAAAAGGACTGTGTGAAAGTATGTTAGCTCCATCCACTCCTTTATTCACTGGTAGGTCTTTCTGAGTGCATTCTATGTAAAGGGAACATTCTCTGTCTTGGAACTCAAGCAGGCCATTGGACACGATGGTATGCTACCACTTGTGGCTGGAGTTTTCCGTGGGACCTGTAGATATAAAGATAAAAGGAAAGATGGAAAAATCTGAGATACCAATAAAGAGCTGACCTGAAATATATTACTGGGATTAAAAGAAGTCATGATGTGACATATTTTGCAGAATTTTATTAATAGCAAACAAAAAATGGTACACCAGAAATTTAATATAATATTTCATAAAAAAGGGGCAAAGTCATGAGAAGAGTCCTCTAGGTAAGAACAATGACTAGAGGTCTTCCCACAGAGCTGATGTGCTGTTCTCCAATGTGAGTTCTCTCATGTCTTATTAGATTAGCATGCTGACTAAAGGCATTCCCACACTGACCACATTCACGTGGTTCTCTCTAGTGTGTACTCTGTTATAATGTGTAAGCTCAGACTTTTGACTGAAAGCCTTCCCATACATGGGCCATACATGTGTTTCTCCTCCAGATGGATTCTAAGGGGCTGGCTAAGGCCAGAGCTTTTGACTAATGACACTCATAACGTTTCTTCGAAGGATGGATTCCCTCCTTTTTTCCTAAGGTAAGATCTTTGATTGAAAGCTTTGTCACATACGGAAAATTCATATGGTTTCTTTCCTGTGTGGATGGTCTCATGCTGTCTAAGGAAAAACCATGACTGAAGGCTTTCCCACACTCATAAGGCTGCTCTCCATTGTGCATTGGATTGTGGTTTCTAAGCTCAGACCTTTACCAAAGGCCTTCCCCACATGGATGACATTCACATGGTTTCTCTCTAGGCTGAGTCATGTTCTGCCATCTGAGGTTGAAAATATGACTGAAGGGTTTCCCACGGTCACATATTTTCCCTGTGTTGTGAATGTCATTGTATGTATTAAGGCATTCCTCTAGTCTATGTGATTTTCCATTGCCCCACAGTTGGAAACCTGAGAGCTCTGCAGGTCGACCACTTCGTGGGTTGCACACACTGAGGGTGGACTTCTTGCCAGAGCTCTGTGGGCTCAATGTATCCTTTTTTTATTTTTTAATTTCTTTTTTAAAAATATATGTTATTGATTTTTCACAGAGAGGAAGGGAGAGGGATAGAAAGCTAGAAACATCGATGAGAGATAAACATCGATCAGCCGCCTCCTGCACACCCCCCACCAGGGATGTGCCCGCAACCAAGGCACATGTCCCTGACCGGAATCGAACCCGGGACCCTTCAGTCCACAGACTGATGCTCTATCCACTGAGCCAAACCGGTTTTGGCATGTATTCTTTTTAAAAAAATATATATTTTATTGATTTTTTTTAATAGAAAGGAAGGGAGAGGTTTAGAGAGAAACATTGATGAAAGAAAAACATTGGAGACATAACACCCAAGCCGCCTATGCATAGCTGCCATCGCTGCCTCTGGGAGTTGCAGTTTCAGAAGGAGGACTCATGAGCGGTACCAAGACCACTCCAGAAGGGCTTTCTGAGCATGCTCTCAGGCTCCCTGAAAACCCCTCAGCTCGACAAAAGAGGAAGGAAAAACACAAGAGCAAACAATTGGAGTGGCAGTGTCAACTGGAATCAAACTCAGATGGAAATGATAGAAAACATATTCGAAGAGATGTTCACAGCACGCTTAGCCTTATCATTGACTGTAGTTTTGACAGCTTGATGGTATTAAAGGACATTAAGAAACTTCCTAAGCAGATTCAATCACGTTATGCAGAAAATCAACGAGCACTGCATTCTGTGCAGTTTCACTTGACAAGCCACGGAGGCCAGTTGAAAAAGAACATGGATGAAAATGACAAAGGATGGGTCAAATGGAAGGATATCCACATTAAACCAGAACACTATATTGAATTCACAAAGAAAGAAGATCTGATTTGTCTTTCATCAGATTCACCTAATGTACTGAAGGAATTAGATGAAACAAAGGCTTATGTGATTGGAGGATTAGTATATCACAACCATCAAAAGCAGGATGCAGTTGGTGAAACTGTAGGTGGTGATTGAACCACAAGATGGAAGGGACCCAGGCCTCTGGATCACCAGTAAAGGAAAGTCATCTGATGACTTGAAAGACACACTTTGAACTCTTAGGTGAGGTATAAACTTCTATTGTATTTGAAAGATGACACTTGTTATCAATGTATATCCCATCCCAATGAGCAGAACCCTCTTCCTCACTTTTTCTTATTTTTTAAAAAGAGAGAATAACAACAGTAGCTACCTCAAATAATATTATGACAATTAAAAGTTAATATATTTAGCCCAGCGGGGATGGCTCAGTGGTTGAACATCAACCTATGAACCAGGAGGTTTTGGTTGATTCCTGGTCAGGGCATATACCCAGGTTGTAGGCTTGATTTCCAATGTGGGATGTGCAGGAGGCAGCCAATTAGTGATTCTCTCTAATCATTGATATTTCTATCTCTCCTTCTCCATTCCTCTCTGAAAATAAAAGTATATATATTAAAAAAAGGGAAACATCGATTAGCTGCCTCCAGCACACCTCCCATTGGGGATGTGCCTATAACCAAGGTACATGCCCTTGACTGGAATCAAACCCGGGACCCTTGTGCCCGCAGGCTGACGCTCTATCCACGGAGCCAAACCTGTTTCGGCTCAATGTATTCTGAGACACATTCTCTCCCATGAGTGGCATCTCTTTCAACAAGGCAAAGCATTGAAGAAAACAGCAGGTGTAACCACAAAGGTTCCTTTTCCTTAAAGAACGTACATCGGAGAGTCATGTGTAAATGACTGAAAACGCTAAACGACTCAGAAGAGCAAATCACGTCCAGTCCTGTGTACCTCCACGAGATTATGCTAATTGGGTAGGCACCGCCCACTCCCCTGAAAACAGCATAAAAGTCCAGCCGGACTCGGGCTTCTGCCAGTCTGTCTCAGACCGTCTCCGTGGAAGCAGCAGCGGATCCGGAGAAGCTGGGCCAGCACTCGCTGTCCTGAGGATTTTTTCACGGACTGAGGAGCTAACTGACATTGCAGGTGGGTGACCTTCCTTTAACCTTTTCTTTTCCTAAAAGTAGATTTTATTGGCTTTAGAGGAAGAGGGAGGGAGAGGGCTAGATCCAGAGACATGGATAATGGGGAGATATCTATTGGCCGCCTCCAAGCACCCCTCCTTCTGGGGATGGAACCCCCAACTCGGGTTTGTGCCAGGAAAGGGACTGGAACAGGTGACCTCTCGGTTCCTGTCTGGATGCTCCAAGTCTGAGCGACACCTGCTTGGCTGGTTTCATTTCAGTTGAGTCCTTTAATTCGGATTTTCCATCACAATGATGAGAAACTAAAGAAAACTTGTGAGTGATTGGATTTTAGGCAGTGGGTCAGAATTCTCTCCTAGCACAGTCCATCCTATAAGGACAAATTGCATTTCTCCATGCTCATTATAACACTAGGAATAAGTTAAAAAAAAAAAAAGCACTTAAGCATTGTAATTTGTGAGAGTTTGTGGGTAAGCAGTAATGGAAAGTTGCTAGATTGAACTATGGGGACTTCAATATATTTGATTTATTCAGACTTAGTTCAAATATATTCATTCACATTTACTAGAAACTAGATAATTATGGGCCATGAATATAGATTAAAAAATATTAGATAAGGTAAACAAACATAAAAGCCGTCCACAATCTCATTTGTGACGCTTCCAGACTAGCGGAGCAGAACATATTTCCATCTGGGTGAGTTTTATCAATATTTGAAATTTGCCTCCTCATCGGTGCATTGGGAACTTTGAATTTTCCAGAGGGGAGCATATTTTCCTTTGATTTTTGAGAAAGTCTCCCACAATCCCAAATGCTTTGATGATGGTGAAAGCCCCGAGAAATATTGTCTTTTCTGGCCCATACTAGGACACGGAGGATAGAATTAATCCCAGTCTCCACTTTGAAATCCCTCCTTTATGCATGCACATCCCATTTAGCAGGTGAGTCTCAGCTGTGTCACCTTAGAGTCCTGCCCTGGGGAAGGAAATCATGAGAGGACAGACAAAGGACTCAGAAGGAGAGGTCACAGGGTAGACAGAGATGTTTTCCCTGAGGGCATGAGGTCTCTTGGGCAGATTTGAAATAGACTGACCATGCCAGAGCAGGTTGCCCTGTATGCGATTTTGAAACTTTTCTCTTTCCTTTTTCCTCAGGAGATTTGCAAGTCCTTAGCTGAGACAGGAAGACTTGAAGGTCGTGGGTGGTGTATCACAAAGAAGGCTGTGACCCAGAACCTGCGCCCATCAGACCCTTATGGCCAAGAAAGGGAAGCAGCCACAGAGGGCCCCAGGAGCACACCAGGCTCCCCCACCGGAGGAGGACAATCCTAGGGTGAGTAGAAGCCTGACTCTGTGGAGGACCTGGGGAAATGGTGGCCTTGATGACAGAGTCAGAGTTTGGACAAGACAAATTCTGTGTCCCTAAGTGGGGTGTCATTTCCCACGCAATGGTCCCCTAACCTAGGACATCCTCACCTGTCTGACTGGTCCCTTTGAGTTTGAAGGAACAACCTCACTTCTTTATAGTGTTCTGTGCAGCCTGCTTTTTTGTCCACAACTTTCCACTTGGTTCTATATATTAATGTTCATCCCTTCCATCCTTTCTCCTATGTTCCTTCCAAACTAACCTGGGCTTTGGGATCCACCCTAAGACCTTAAGCAATAGCTACCTGGTGAGCCCTCCCTGGGGTGACCCGTATTCCACCTCCTGCTGTTCCCCTTTGAAATGTGCCTGTGTTTTGAACTGACTCTCTGAGCTTCTTCTCTCCTCCAGGTGAGATGTTGGAAATGTGGGGCCTTTGGGCACAAGGCAAGCAGCCTCAGGTGTCCCATGAAGCGTCAAAGTGGGGCCTTAGCCCCCCATGCCCTGGGCTCCAAGGATATGAAGGAAAGCTGGAATCCTTGGAATCCGAGGGACCTGTGGAACAGAGGGCCCTTCAACAAGGCTGCTAGATTAACCCAGCAGAGAGTTCGGTGAGTTTCATGAGTGAGGGAGGCCAAACTTTGGGGGGAAATCTAGGGAACCGGCACCCCTTACCTCTCCAATATCTGCATTGCCACCTCCAACCAAAGACAGGGACCTGGAGAGTTTGAGAAAGCTGCCTGTGGCTTCCAAGAGTGCATCAGAGTTTCATTCCCTTCCTGAGAGTCACTGAGAATTAATGGTTGTGGGGGTGGGTGAGACATGGTAGATCTCTACCAAGGACAGGCGGAGAGACAATGGAGGGAAAGTAACGTCTTTTGTGAAAAATCCTTGAGTGCCCACAGAAAGGGGAGAATGTGAAATGAGGCAAGGAGAAGTCTAGTAAATGCATAGATCCTACGCCCTGGTTCATAGTAATACAGGGAAAGGGACTAGACCATGGGAAGGCTTGTTTCATTTGGGACAGGAGTGGAGGGACTCATATACTATGTTGTGTCCTCCAGGAATGAAGAACACAGACAGGATCTTCGTCAGAAATTACAACAGAGAGCCCAAGGAGGGCCCCAGCACAACTGGAAGGACAAGACAGAACCCTGTGACTACGTGCGGGTGAGTGTCCTCAGGTTCTTGGCCTTTTATTGCATCAGGGTCACAAAGTCCCCCTGGGACTCCGAGAAAACCTCACTTTCTAGAAATAGTCCTGTGCAGCCCATTTTGTGTCCAAATCTTTGCACGTGGGTCTATGTATTCATGTTGAGAACTGGGTGCCTTTCACCATGTTCCTTCCCAACTAATATGGGCTTTGGCATGCACAACAACATCTTAATAACGGGCACCAGGTGAGCCCCCTGTGTATGACAGTCTCTGTACCCAATATTACACCTCCATAATCTGTCCTCCTATTTCCTTTGAAATATGTCCCTGCTGTGGGCTGATTTACTTACCTCCTTCTTTCCCTGCAGGTGAGATGCTGGAACTGCAGGGAATTTGGGCACAAGGCAAGCAGCCACAGGTGTCCACTGAAGCAGAGGAATAAGGCCCTAGCCCCCCAGGCTATGGGCTCCAATAAGATGAAGGAGAACCTGAAACCACGGAATCTCCGGGTCCAGCAGAAACCAGGAAGCATTAACAGGCCTCCTAGGGAGACTGAGCAGAGAGCATGGTGAGCATTGTGGGAAGGTGGAGAAAACATTGGGGCGGAATCTAAGAAGCCTGTGTTCTTACCTCTACACTGTATGCCTTGCCATCTCCACTTAAACTCAGAGATACAGAGAGAAAAATCTCCATGTTTTCACCAGTCACACTCCCAGGTTCATACAATTCCTGGGCAATCAATGAGGGTGAATGGTGGTAGGGTTGGTCCTGAGAACATCTTTAGTCTATAAGGCTATCAGGCAGAGGGGAAATGGAATGAAAGAAAGCCCTTCATGAAAAACATGAAGGGGATCTGAGTTGAGGCAAAGGCTAGTCTGGTAAACAATGGGACTTTGCTCCCTGGATCATGAGAAGTGGGAAGGTGTGTGGGGCAGGGGAAGCATCGCCTTCCTTGCAGAGAAGAAATGGAGTGTCACAGGTGTTATGTGCTGTGTTGCAGGCATGAAGAGCAGAGACAAGCTTCTTGCAGGAGACTTCCTCGGAGGCCCACAAGCAAATCCCAGCAAAATGGGAAGGAAGAGACAGAATCCTGTGCCTTTGTGAGGGTGAGTGTCCTCAGGTGATGGGATTTTCATTGCATCAGGGTCACCCTTCTTCCCTTTTTGTCTTCTCTCTGAGGGAATGGTGAAAGTTCAATTCGAACTCCCATGCTCTCTCTACTGTAATTTCCTAATTCATTTTTCTTGATGTCTTTTATTTGGCCTATACTTGCATGTGTCTCAACAATACAGGATGGGGGGAAAAGTGGGGTTACAGTATTCTTTTGGAAAATGGTAAAGTAATAAATCATAATACAGCAATAAGCTCTGTCTTTAATGGACCAAAAACTGTAAACCTACTTTTGACCCACCCTGTAAGCTGATGGAGGGCATGGGTGTGGTCTCATTTGATGTTTCCACCAGACACCATCCCTTCTTGGAAACCAGGCATCATGAAATCAGAATCCCTTCCCTCTAATTGGTTACCCAAACTCATTATTCCCCACACTGCCTTTCGAACACCAAGAAGTGTCTATTCCCTGGAAGAATAGACAGGAGACAGCTGTGAGAACTTCCTGTTTTCTTATCTGATGTTAGACAAGGTATCAAGGGGACATTGTATATTCTATCCAACAGAGCTCAGGGGCCTCACCTTCTTTACTTTTGTTATTGGCTTATCCTTTGCAGTCCATATCATGTCACAAGATCTTGTTTTCCTTGTAGTTGGTTTAATTTTATTTTCTACTTGATAGTGAGAAAATTTAAATGTGTAACATCTGTGTTGTGTCTCTTATAGGATCCACACACGAAAAGACCTGAGCACAACACTAAGAGGAAATATGATGGAGACCCTGATCTCACCACTTGCTCACCAAAAAGAAAATGTGTCATGACATCCACAGCATCTCCCATCAAAGGTGTTGAGAGAAGCACCTGCTTACCTGCTGGATCAAAGAATGGACAGGAAGGGCCTGCCACAGACTCCCCTCACACAGAAGGCACACACGTTGTCCAGGATCCCACCCATGGTGTCCATGAGAAGGATGACAGACCCCAATCTGCATTCAGCACCCAGGGCCTGGACCAAACCCTCATCCACAAGCCACAGGCCAAGTTCCCTGATGGGAACTCACACAGCATCCAACACGCTGCTGCACACAGTGTGGGCCAGGACTCTGATCTCATCATCAAGGTGCTTGGCAAGAGATCTGCCCAGACCTCCAGCCAGACCTGCCAGAAGCCCACAAAGAAACCCAGACTCAGCCCCTGCCTGAAAAGCACACAGAGTCCTGACCCCCAGCCTCTGCTCCAGGGCACTCTCCTCAAGACTCTCCAGCCCTGCCACATGCCCCAGTTCCCACCAGTTCCTGGGGTTCCAGGCCAGCCCTTAGACAAAGGACCGTGGAGCTCCATGCCCATGACACCTCCTTCCCACCCTCCTGCTGAGAAGCTCACTGCTCCTGCTCAGATCCCTCCCACTGCTGAGAAGTCAGAGGAAGCCTGTCTCTGTGTCCCTTTGAGTGTCCTCCTTGACGCCCTAAAGCTTTCCTCTTCCTCTGAAGAAGGTGATGGCCAGTGAGACACTCCATGTCAGGAAGACATGTTCCTCAGCCTCAGGCCACCTGGAGATGCCCCAGAAACTCTAGAGGGCAGATCACTTGGAGCAAATGTTTCTGGGGAATCAGAGCTTCCCTTCTGTACTACGTGGACAGATGGTGGGAACGCTGATCAGGCCTGGGGCACACAGACCCAGTTATTGCACTTTTAATTTACAGAGTGTAGTCAAATTTTATAAGAAACTATAGTTTGTACTATTCGAATGGGAAAAAGAAGTAGGTTTTTAGAAATTTTCACCCATTGTTTGTAAAATTAAGCTAAGTTACAATAATTGTCCTTAAAGTCGAACGGGAATAGGAAGCTATGTAATGAATTTGTATCAGATGTGCATCTGTGTGCTTTGGGGAACCCGGGGCAGGGCCACCTGTGTAGTCTGTAGATTTGAAGCAGTACCTGTTGTCCTGAGATGAGATTGTTTTATGCTACTGTGTTATCTCAATGGAAATTAGGAAGGTGACCCTTCCCATGACTTTGCATCTTTGGTTTATGGAATGTCATATTAAAGTATTGTTTTAAGTATAGTTTGTGTTTGGCATCAATAAAGTTTTGCAAAATAGGTCACATTGTGAATGGATTTCATTTCTGTCCATTTGAATCATTTGAAAAACACCGATTGTTCCCAAAAGCTCATGTCAGTGAGAGTAGATGGGAATATGATGTACCTTGAGGTGGATGAGTTTGGGCAACACCTGTAGGTTCCTGTATCATGCCTTCTTCTCAGTCAAGATCGTCTCCCCCCTAAGGGGCACTAACAGCCTTTAGGGCCTCACCCTCCAAAGTTGTCCCTCTCTGTGGTCCTTCAGCAGCCTTAGTTCCCCTCCCTGGACTCCTGAGTACCTGATCTCCCCATTCCCTCTCCAAAAGCAGTCTATGATTTTTGTGACTTGTGAACATGCCTGTCCCCACCATCTCTGAGATTGAGAGATCTCCACTGGTTCTAGGAAAAGGGATTTCAAAGGCTGATCTGAGTGATGAATTTTCTCATAGATCTGCTGTGTCTCCACATTTGTAAATTAATTTAAGAAAGAAACATTAGGTCAGCCAGTGAAGAGGTGTGGCCTAGAGACACAATGAAATTCACACAAGAGGTAAATTATGTGAACATGGGAAAGCCTTTAGTGATGCCTCAGCCTTAGAGGACATAAGATGACTCACATGGGAGAGAAGCCATTTGAGTATCTTCTATGTGGGAAAGGCATTTTGCAAAGATCTGTCCTTGGAAAATACAATTGAATGCACATTGGAGAGAAACCTTATGATTGTCATGACTGTGGGAATGCCTTCAGCCAACATGCTAATCTCATAAGACAGCAGAGAACTCACATTGGGGGACAGCATATGTAAGTCAGTTATGTGGGAAAACTTTCAGTCATTGTTCTTCCCTTAGAAAACATGAGGGAATCCAATACAGGAGAGGAAATCATGAAAGCCTCCAGTAGATAGTTTGATCTGACTGTCATGACATGGCATTACTTATTTAATAATTATGGAAGGAATGTCAATAATAGCTTTAGTATTTGAACATACTGAAAACTCATACATGAAAGAATCACTCAGTAAGCAATGTGGGAGATCCATTGTGTTGGTGGTACCTCAGCCTAAGTCTCTGCAACATGAGGACAGGAGACAGAATGCTGCCCACACGGACCAATAAAGCTCTTGATTTTTGTTCTAAAAGCTCTCATTGAGCTACATGGTGGCGGTGGAGGGGTGGATGGGAAGTCTCCTAGAACTCTCTATATCTTAGTTAAATCAGTATTTTTGCACCCACCACTAACCACAGATTGAACCTTAGCTGTTTCTCCCCATCTCAAGGAGCAGCTCAGTAGTAAGATAATTTTCCTAATCCTATTAGCCACTACGGGAGCTGCTTTTTAAATAAGTAAGAAAATTCATGTGTCCTAAGCAAAATGAAAGGATTTTCCCACTTTGTTCCTAGAGAAGAAAATGTCCTTCAACAAACACCCTTTATAGAACCTAACCATCAACATGCTGACTTGTGCTCTTCCCAACAAGGAGTAATTCTGTGATTGAAGTGGACATACACTTTTTCCTAACATCTCTCCCCAGGTGATTTCCCTGTAGAGGCAGGGTGGGGAAAAGTTAACCCAACTGAGGAAGATGAGGAATTAAGTGGGGTCTGCCTACAAGAATAGGTTCCTCCCATCTGTAGTTGAATTCAGCTGCAAGATGTCAGAAAATAAGAGATCAATGTGTGTGATTTCATGTCCTTGTTTTCTTTAGAAGGTCAACTTAGGTGCATAGGAGCCACTATTTATAACAACTTGCGCACCATACATCCTGAGATTGTGCACCCCTGGATTTTTAATGTCCTGTCAGGTGTCCATGTTAAGGTGTCCTCAGTAGTAAATCTCAAAGCAGGCACCTTCCCCCTGAAAACATCAACACATTTCCATCTCCACCAAAGGAGGCCAGATCCACTCCCTCCTCCTTTCACACAGCTCTCCTCCGTCCGATGGCCCAGGAGCACAGAAGAAGCTGCTGCCAACATCAGTGGGCTGAGATGTGGGAACCCAGAGGACCCTGAGGCTCGCAGGAGAACCTGATGTCAGAGCCCCTGGTCTGTCAGTGTGATGTCCTGCTGGACACATGATGTGCAATGCAGGTCAGACTTCAGGGTCCAGGGGAGGACTCAGTGTGGCTCAGAGACTGTTTTGTAGGGAGCCCACCCAACCTCACATTGTACACCAAGAAAATGAACTACTATATACGATACTTTAGAATAACAATCACTGACCATGTACAGTACAGCAACAATAAAAAAGTCCCCTTGGGGAAAACATTGTAAAGTTCTTTTTATAAGTTACACATATTTTATTGATTTTTTACAGAGAGGAAGAGAGAGGGACAGGGAGTTAGAAACATCAACGAGAGAGAAACATCAATCAGCTGCCTCCTGCACACTACCTACGGGGGATGTGCCTGCAACCAAGGTACATGCCCTTGACCATAAGGGAACATTGCACCATTCAGCCTGCAGGCCAATGCTCTATCCACTGAGCCAAACTGGTTAGGGTGAAAGCTCTTTTTTTCTTAATGTAAAACACCCCTAACTTAAATGCTTGACAATAAATAAGTGGTAGCTAACACAATCAGAGTGGGGAAAATTTTTCATGAGAAAACACTCTTGATAACTTTCAAAATTCCAATAGATTTCATCTGTAGGTATGAGAGACCAATTTGATAATTTATAATTATGAGAATTAGACCAATGAGGTATATGCAGTTTATCATAATTCACACAGTAAAAAGGACATATTTTTCAGACAAGACACCATTAAGTCTGACTTGGGAGAGTAATTCTGAAAGTGGGCCATCCCAACTTGTGTGGCAGAAAGTGGACTGGAGTGTGTTGAAGTCAGTCGCAGGACAAGCAGGGACAAACAGCCTCTGGGAGACCTTTTGGACAGGCTGAATCAAAGGGTGAGGGTCCCAAGGGATGCAGCCAGGGTTTAAGGGCTTGACCAGGGTCATCTTGGTGGCACATTCATTAATAATAAAGGGAAGATAAATGAGAAGGTCACTGGGAGTTCAAATATATTCAAATTCTAAAATGGAAAACTACCCAGAATGCCCACAGTTTGATATCAGACACTCACAGGTATCACCTATACCTGTGCCAGCTGGTGCTGAATTGAATGAGCAGATTTAAACACAATATCCCATGGAATTGTGGTTAAACCTTTCAAGCCCTGCATGATTCAGGGTTCCGGTTCATGGTTCGGGTTCTGTAGAGGCCGCACACAAATGAAAAAGAAAAAAAAAAGACTTTAGAAAAGATTTAATTTGGGAAATGGGGGCCAGACGGTAGTCCAACTCTAGTGGGAGGACTACTACGTACTCGGTCTGGATTTTCCACCCCTTTTTATTAAGATTAAAATTATATGATATACCCATATTACCTAGGCAGGAAACTGCAATAAAGCCAACCAGTGAATTTAGGACTAACCGGTGGGGGCTGCTTCAACTACGAATATCTAGTATTTAGCTCTGATCCTTGCAGTGTTTCCCAAAGTGGTACAGATAAGTTTGGTGGGGGTACATGTTGCACCGGAGTTTGGTGGGGATATGCACTGCACTGTGCTTAGCTGCGCCTAATTCTACATTCTCATGAGTACGAGGGGGTAATCAGCATTACAAAAATTATAGAAGGGGTACACATATGTCAAAAGTTTGGGAAACACTGCCGGAGAGCAATTAAGGCTGACCAGCCCTCCGAATTCCCTGTCCCACAGCTCTCTATTATTAAAACAATGATTGGCTTCTGGCAGGAATGAAGTAGAAAATGCTCAAATGGGATGATTTGTATTTCTGTTCCTCATTGTCTCTTAGTAAAAACACAGGCACATGCCTCCAACAATCTACAGTCAGAGGAAGAGAAACTGATAAATTATCAAGTGTCACCCAATAGAAGATGAGGCCAAATGAATAAGTCCCAGTTCATGTACAACGACCTGTAGGAAAAGACTGATTTGCAGGGACATAGAACTTCCTGTGTCCACACGGGACGACTCAGGGAAGTGACGTGAGTCACAAGGCAGAGTACAAAAAGAACTATTCGCACAAGGACAACATGTGGGCTCCTTTCCTGTGCATTTCCTAGAGCGTCACATCAGAGAGACAGAGGAGGATGGTGGCAGACAGTCTTCAGTGAGGCTAGGAAGAAGAAAGACTTTTCAGGGAATCAGAGCTTCAGTTGGAAATGTGAAGAGCTTTGGAGATGGAAATGTTGTTGGTTGCAAACACCATGGGTGGACTTCATGCCAAAGAACTCTACATTCGGATTATGAGACCATTTGTCTCATATGCATCTCACCACATTAAACTAGGCAAAGTGCAAAAGGAAGCAGCAGGCACACACACAAATGTTTGTTTTTCTTATAGAAGATAGATCCTTCTAATAGTGAGCACGTGCGTCCATATAAAGTGAAAAGGCCTGAAAACCCTAAAGAACCCACAACAGAGCTAATCTTCAAGACCTGTTTCCTTCTGAGGGATTATGCTAGTTTAATGGTCAGCTCCCACATATCATGTGACCTGAGCCAGCCTATAAATCTACCAGGACTGCAGGATCTCTCAGTGACCCTTCCTCAGACACCTTCAGAGCTGCATGGCATCCAGTGAGGCTTCTCCAGCACAGATTACTCTGAGAATCTGTTGACAACAAGGGGAGTAGAGACCGATTTCAGATGGTCTTTCTTTCTTGATTTAAAAACAATAAGTATTTAATGATTTTTGAGAGAGAAAAAAGGAGAGAGGTAGAGATAGAAACATTGATGAAAGAGAAACATGGATTGGCTGCCTCCTGCAGGCCTGCAACTGGGATAAAGTGTGAAATTCTGGCAAGTACCTTAACCAGGAACCAAACTGGTGAGCTCATGTGAATGGGTCCACACTTAAACACTGAGCAACCCCAAGTGGGCGGGTTTTCTTTTAATTAGCTTCTTAGATAATCCCTCAGAGAAATGGTACACTAGGAGAACTTGGAAGAGATGTGGCTTTAGTCAGGGGGGAAAGGATTCTTCTGTTTTCAT